GGATGCTCTGAGTGTTTAGTCTGACTACTAAGGAACGAATTATAAAGGTTTTTTTAGAAACGAAAGAAAAATTATTTTGCAAAAAGTTTAAATGTCAAAAGGAAAAGAAAAGGTTGATTGAATTGAATTAACCGAAAAAGTGCTTGAAAGGTAATTTTTGAACCAGGGTTATGTATTTTGGATTCATAGATAGATGTTTCTCAACCAAAGAGTATGGATAATACAGAAATGTAGAATTTTGCCTAGATCCAAAAATCAAGACCTACAATGGGGGTTGCTAGAGCATGAAGCTCCACAGGGCAAGATATGAAGGTTGCCAGAGCATCAAGCTCCATAGGACAATGCATGAAGGTTGCCATAGCATGAGGCTCCACAGGGAAATGTATGGAAGTTTTCTAGAGCATGAAGTTCCACAGGGTAATGCATGGAAGTTTTCTAGAGCATGAAGCCCCACATGGCAAAAATAAAAGAGAAGGGTTTTGCCAAAGCATGAAGCTCCACATGGAAATGCATGAAATAGTATTAGTTTCGAGATGGGTGATTGACCATGAGATGCTTAACCCAAAGAAGGTATGAATGCCAAAGAAGATTGTGTTTGGTCCAAAGAGAAAGGTATTATTGATATTGATTCTTGCAATATCGTTTGTATAGGAGAAGACTTGTCAATTATTTGATTTGAATCGTACTAAAGTCTATAAAGAAAGGCAAATACTTTGAATAACTAGGGCCTACGCCCCGTATGCAGAGGTACTTAAAACAAATATATGAATAATCCCTTTCATCCTTCTCCGTTGCTTAAGGCCCGTGAAGTATAATTCACATTGTAACTGACAAGTGTTGAAGAAGGACCTTTTTGTTGTGCTTGATACATTCATCAAGTCCTGAGATCCAGTGTCTTCAAATCCTTGCATGGGAGGCTTGACTTGAGTTGGACTTATGTTTGAGATGTGTTGAAGTCTGGATTCTGAGTTTGCCTTGGGGTGTCCAATACAGTGCCAAAATAGATGACTAATCATATCAAGTGATCAAGAGGCTTTTGATCACTTGACTAGTTAGGGGATCAAGTAAAAGTGAAGTGATTAATTGATCAATCAATCAGAGCATGAATAAAAAACTACAAACACATGGATTTTATGAATCAAGAAAAAACTACAATGCTACCATCTATTAATTTCTAATATTAAAGATACTAAAAAACCCTAATGTGATCATGTTTAACAATTTATAAAAAAAATATAAATTGAAGGTTAACCTAAAACTAAAGGATTATCATTTACTTTCTAAAAAAAAAGTGAAAATCAGCTAAATCCTAATTATCTAAGTGTTATATTTTAGGAAATTTTCATGTTAAACATAAAAATGTATTAAAAGTACTAAAAAGATCCTTGAAGTGTATTAAAAGAAATAAAGTGAAGCAATTGTATATAAAAAAACAAATGAAGATAAAGAAGGAAAAAAATAAGCAGGGGGTACAATTGCTGGCAGGGTGTGTGTATAACACAAATGCACAGAGCCCATCAAAAGGCTTAAGTTGCCTAAGCTGAGTTAAGGCATAAGGTGGTGTAAGGTGGAATCAGGGTGTATGCAATAAAAATTGGATGGGCTTAGTGGCCCTAAGCCCAATACGTGTTGGCCAAGAATGAGGATTCTACCTGCCACCTCCCAAATTATACCTAACACCCCCCGAATCTTTCATAATTTTAAAACTGCCCTTGAAAAAATTTGAAACAATTGAAAGTTTTTTACATTATCGAAAATTTCATGGGGATTAAGGTTTTAAAATAGGTGGTTGACTTTGGTCAACTTGTTGACCAAAAGTCAACAGTTTACCAAAGTAAACTATAGGTTAAATGTTTGTTTTTTTTTCTTCTTTTTTTGTATGTATTTTCATGAATTGACTTTTGTAACATGGCTCTTTTTTTAATGATGTCTTGATGTAACTCCTGCCTTATAGTTTCCCTCATAATCTTGATAATTTGAGTTTTGAACATTCAAACTCTTGATCTTGAACTTTGCCTTGAATGCATGCCATGAATCAACCACTAATCAAATAACAATCACTAAGTCTCTCTATGAACATGATCACAATAAAAAAAGACTTCCAAGATCATGTCCCAAGATTGTACCCAGGATTAAGGCATCTCCCAAATGAATCTTAAGCTCGATGTGTTCAAACGATCGGGTTGTAGCATAGTAAACCACAAACTTGCTTAACAATTGCATCATGAAACCCTAACTCATGTGTTCTGGACTGACCCAATGGTTACGCATGGCCCAATCCACTTCTTCTTCTAGAACGGCCCGATAGCCTAAGCCCTTCCAGTTAAGGGCAAAAGGAAGCATTTTATCCTCTTCCCCTCTGCCGAGGAAGGCTGACCAGCTGACCTCCCCGGATGAGTTGCCCCTCGTCACATTTCTGCCTGTCACACACGGTACCACCATCCAGAAACACTCACGACGCCCGTGTCGGCGGCCACGCCCTTACCCGTGGCAACGACTAGTTTCGAGCATTTATGCTCGTCCCAACGGCTAGTTTCTGGCAGTTACCTATTCTTTGGGGAACGAATATCTCACCCCGAAAATAGGGACCAATGGTCAAGCGTTGGGGGCATTATAAAAACTCTCTCATTTGAGAGGGTCAGATATTCTAAAATCATCCTAAGACATACTCACTTTGTACTTGCATTCTCTTCTCCCGATTCTTACTTTAACATCAGAGTGTCTTGCAGGTACACCCCATTCTCATCTTTGAAACCCAACATCGCGAACAAGGTCTCTGGCCCACTTCAGGTTCTGATCAGTCGGTAAGATCAGTGACGCCGTCTGTGGAAAACTTTTATTTTTCCCATCTCTCTTTCCTATGAAACCAAAGATCAAAGCAACTTCTCAAGATTTCGATCATGGCCAACTGCGACAACATCTATGATGTTCGCAACACCTTCATTTCCCCCATCAGCAAGACTGGCAACAATGGGGTGAATTACCTTCTTGGAGATAACGTTCCTCAGCTGAGGGACGAAGTCACTACATTTCCCTCCCCGAATCGCGACTATAACGCAGAGGTCCAACACTCAGCAGATCACCAGCCTGTCCCAGTTTTGACCAACGCCGACCCGACCAAGGCAACTCTAGTCAAAGCTCTTAACAAGATGAACCTTTTGATCCTCCAGCAGAACGCAAGAATTGGAGCATTCGAAACTGTCTGTCGTCCAAGATCTCCTCCACCAAGGTGCGAGCACCAGAGGTCCCAAAGCCCTCTCCTCGGCGCAGGAGGAACCACCAGATCCCAGTAGAGCCAGAACCCCTTCCAGTCAGGAAACGTGACCACACTCCTCCCTAGAGCCAACACTCCTTAGAGGTCAAGAGAGCAAGAAGAGACCCATGGGCAAAAGGCCGACTTTTGCATCCGCCCAGACCTAATGGTCGGTTGCAAGCTTTTTCTCCTTGTCGGGATCACGGCCCTCACCCAAGCAAAGACACTCGTTCATGTTCGAGGTCGAGCAGTTACAGTGACGACGAAGAGCCTCGAGGCCCATTATCCCAGGAGATCATGGCCACTCGTTAGGGGGCTCCTGTTCCGGACTGGCCCAATGGCTAGGCATGACCCAATCCACTTCTACTCCCAGAATGACCTAACAACCTAAGCTCTTCCAATTAAGGGCAAAAGGAAGCATTCTCTCCTCTGCCCCTCTGCCGATGAAGGCTGGCTAGCTGACCCACAAGATCAGTTGCCCCTCGTCACATTTCTGCCCGTCACACATGGTTCCACCATCCAGAAACAGTCACGACGCCCGTGCTCGTGACCACACCGTTGCTCGTGGCAACGACTAGTTCCGAGCACCTATGCCCATCCCAACGGCTAGTTTCTTACAGTTATCTATCCTTTAGGGAGCGAATATCTCTCCCCGAAATAGGAACCAATGGCCAAGCGCTGGGGGAATTATAAAAACCTTCTCATTTGAAAGGATCAGGTATTCTAAAATCATCTTAAGACATACTCACTTTGTACTTGCCTTCTCTTCTCCCGATTCTTACTTTAGCATCAGAGTGTCTTGCAGGTACACTCCCTCATCATCTTCGAAATCCAGCATCGCAAACGAAGTCTCTCACCCACTTCAGATTCTGATCAGCCAGTAAGATATCCATAATTCAATGCTCGATATCACAAATAACAAATCTTTGAATCAATGGTGTTTTAAGAGAAAAATATATGCAATTGTGAATGAATGATCTAATTAACTAAATGGATGCAGATGAATCAAATCAAAAATCAAATGAAAATAAAAAGAAAGAGCAAATTTTGGAATATCACACATATTAGTTAAAGTATATATATATATATATATATATATATATATATATATATATATATATATATATATATATATATATATATATATATATATATATATATATATATATATATATATATATATATATATATATATATATATATATATATATATATATATGACCTTCCATATGTAAATATAGTTGGAAATAATATTTTCTATCAAACTTCTTTTTATCTTTTGTAATATTCTTTTATGTAGAAGTCTTTTCGTATGTTATCTAATGGACATGAGTTGTTAAATTTAAAAACTTAATTATAATTTTTTTTAAGTTAAATAAATAATATAAAAATCTCTAGATAATTCCATATCCACGTCAAACTCTACTAATAACTTACAAAGTTAAAATTATTATTACATATACGATGAAAAAGAAAATTTAGCTTCTCTTTCAAACATAGGCCAAGTGTCCCTTGAAACCATCACTTACATAGCTCCAAGGTTGAAAAGCAAGCGATCAAAAAAGAAAGGAAACGAAACAATGCAAATCCTTGAATCTAGGCATCCGTTTCTCCCTGCCATTTCTTCATCCAAAAATCACATTTTCCACAAACATTTCCGCTCAAATTCTTCATCTTCATCTTCATGGCATGCTATACTATTCTTCAAACAATTCTTAATTTTGTGGTGCCATACAAACTATGAAAAATGAGGAATTTTGTTTCCTACATTGCACTCTATTTCCTTTTCTCTTTTACACTCTTACCGAAATTTCATTGTGCCGAAAAGACTTTTGCCCCGTCCTTTTACACCGATGAAATCTACAAGGAACTTCAGAATATCGCTATTCTTTTGAATAAGGATATCAAATCAAGTTTAGGTTTCTGCATTAAGGATCCGTGAGTCCTATTTCATCATTTTGTTATTTTTATTCACTTCAATCACACTTCTTTGTTGATCATACTTTTTGCTTTCGTTCAGGAAAAAAGATTGGGAAGAAGCTTTTGATTTTACAGGAAAGTTGGATTTTGTCGAGTCTTGTGTTAAGAAAAAAGGAGATTTTAGGGATCGTATATGCACTGCAGCTGAAATAAGGTACTACTTCCATGGTTTCTTGGTACAGGGAGCAGCTACTGACAATTATGTAAAACCTAACAAGAATTGCAATTTGACCTCATGGGTTTCTGGTTGTGAACCTGGATGGGGTTGTAGCACGGGCTATGAGATTGACCTAAAAAAGGACACAAATGAAATTCCAAAGAGAACCAAAGAATGTAAACCTTGTTGTGAGGGTTTTTTCTGTCCTCAAGGATTGACTTGTATGATACGTAAGTATACCACACCTCTCTTGAACTGATAATTTTATTTAGGAATTAAGGTTGAAACTCGGCTAATGATTAGTTTTTTTGTTTATGGATGAAGCTTGCCCACTAGGTTCTTATTGCCCGATTGCAAAACTGAACAAGACTTCTGGACTATGTGACCCGTAAGCTCCACCTTGCCGTTAACTCTTACAATTGTTGTCTATGTTTCATCCCTAAAATGTAAAAACAAATGTGCAGATATAGTTACCAGATACCTCCGGGAGAACCAGATCATGATTGCGGCGGTGCTGATATTTGGACTGGTGTGGTGAACAATAGTGATATATTTTGTTCTCCCGGATCATATTGCCCAACAACAACACGTAAAGTTTCTTGTGATCGTGGGTATTGATTTATCCCATTCCTCCTTTTCATGTTGCCTAAATTCTCTAAAATTATTGTCACAAGTCACAACCAAACTCTCACTGATTTCTCAACTCTCTTGACTTTTTTACTCATTATGCCTAAATTGTCCAAATTTATTTTGTCACAACTAAACTCATACTGCTTTTCATGTTCATCGCAACCAAACACATACTGATTTCTCAACTTTCTTACTCATTATGCCTTTGCAATTTCAGATATTACTGCAGGATGGGTTCTACTCATCAGAATCGTAAGTCTATTTTATTGTTACATATATTTGAAGTCTTGTTTATTTGGCTAATTTATCTCATCATTGCATCATAAATTTGTGCTTGATAAATTAGTAAGATTTTAGGATCTACCATTTGCCTTTCTCTAAATTTCCTCCTCTCTTCATCCAGTGGTCATGAAAATTTAAAATGGAAATGTTTTGAGAAAATAAAAAGTTAGAGCTTCTTTAGGTAAAATTATAATCCTCATAGTTTTTTTATTGTTAGAAAAAATATATATGTTTCAGATTGTAAATCTTAAGGAGAAAAAATATATATGTTTCAGATTGTAAATCTTAAGGAGAAAAAACATAATCAGATAAAATGACATAAAATTTACAGCATAATTGACACTTGACATGATAAAATGAACTAGACACAAACAAACAAAAAAGTTTTTATCCGCAACTGATTTAATTTTCCTGTATCATTTACACTCTCTAGAAGACACTATTCAGAAGCTTAGTTTGTATTGTTTATTTTTGCAGCATGCTCCAAGTTCAGCCAATGTAATCCAAATACAACGAACCAAAATATGCATGCTTATGGCGCTTTGCTTATTGTAAGTAGAATTCAATGTGACATTGGATGAATTCATTCTTACTTGGGATATTTTTTCTCTTAAATTTTTCCTCATTGATAGAAATTTGCAAAACTCCCATTCAACTTTACTTTTTCGTTTCACGCTTTATCAGAGTTTTTATTGCAAGTTGGTTTTGGAATTATTATTCTCGATGGTTTGACTCATAGATTTTATGGTTTGTCTTACAAACATATTATTAACTCTTTTGTTCCTTTATCTTCTTTGCTCAAATAATGGTGTTTTATCTCATAGTATGAAGAAACAGAATACGAGATCAGCATAAATGTCCAAAGTTTACTTGTTTTTGTTATTTATGCATATTTTATGAAAGGGCATGCGATACTTTGAATCATATTTGGAATCATTAATTTCCCCTTGTAGGTTGCATTGAGTACTGTCTTGATCTTCATTTATAATTGTTCTGATCAAGTTCTAGCTACTCGAGAAAGAAGAAAAGCTAAATCCAGAGAAGCTGCAGCAAGACAGGTAAGAGAAACTGTACAAGCTAGAGAAAGGTGGAAGATAGCAAAAGATGCTGCTAAAAGGAATAAGGCAGGATTGCAAGATCAGCTAGTACGCACTTTTTCTCGCAAAAAATCAACAAAGCAAGTGGAGCAAGCTAATCCTGCTACAGACAATTCAGTTTTGCCACCTATGCCTCCAGAACAACCATCTCCAGCCACAAAAGGCCAATCAAAGGAACCTAGCAACCTTACTAAAATGTTGAATTCCCTTGAGAGCGACCCTAATAGTAATGAAGGATTCAATCTAAAGATTGGGGATAAAAATATTAAAAAACAGTTGCCTAAGGGAAAAAATTTACATACACAAAGCCAAATTTTAAGGTATGCTTATGGTCAGATTGAGAAGGAGAAAGCTCAACAAGACAAAAATCACTTGACCTTCTCAGGAGTGATTTCAATGGCTGCCGATGGTGAGGAGATTAGATCGAGGCCTGAGATCGAGGTAGCTTTCAAAGATTTAACCCTTACTTTGAAAGGGAAAAGAAAACATGTTATGAGGTGTGTGACAGGTAAAATCATGCCTGGTCGTGTTTCAGCTGTGATGGGTCCTTCGGGAGCTGGAAAAACTACATTTCTTTCTGCTCTAGCAGGGAAAATAAGAGGATGTACTATGACAGGCTCAATTCTAATCAATGGAAAACCTGAATCCATTCATTGTTACCAGAAAATTATTGGATATGTGCCGCAAGATGATATTGTGCATGGGAACTTGACAGTGGAGGAAAATCTCCGTTTCAGTGCAAGATGCAGGTACCCCACTTTCCATGTAGAACTTAATTTGTACATTTTTATTGTGAATGCTTGAAATGTATGTAATTTGTTTATTTTCTTATGAAAAGAGTAATCCTTTGTATAAGAGGAAACCTTTGGAGGAGATCTCTCTACCTTACTCTTTTTTATTCACTCAATATAATTTTTCCTTCTTACCCTTCTATTACTTCTTTTTATTGGTTTATATAAAAAAATGTCATGTATGTTGTGTTTGGTAATGGTTAAATATATAAGAGAAATATATTTTAGAGTATCTCTTAAGTTTAGTTCCTATATTACTTGGTTATTTTTTTATTCCGTATATTATTGAGTTTTTACCCCCTTTCTAATTGTCATTTCATTTGAAATGTGTGCTTATTACTGGAGACTATCTGATGACCTGCCAAAACCAGATAAGGTTCTGATTGTTGAAAGAGTAATTGAAACCTTGGGACTCCAGGCAATAAGAGATTCCCTTGTTGGAACAGTAGAGATGCGAGGCATATCTGGTGGGCAACGAAAACGTGTAAATGTAGGGTTGGAGATGGTTATGGAGCCTTCATTGTTAATCTTAGATGAGCCTACAACTGGTCTTGACAGTGCATCTTCCACTTTACTACTGAAAGCACTCCGTCGTGAAGCTGCTGAAGGAGTAAACGTCTGCATGGTACTTCACCAACCGAGGTAATGTTACCCCTCTCTCTAACCCAACATAAAGTTAAAATCTTACTTTTGATTTTGTTGTTATACAGCTATACTTTGTTCAGAACGTTTGATGATATAATATTTCTAGCAAAAGGTGGTCTTACTGCATATCACGGTCCTGTAAAAAAAGTAGAAGAATACTTTGCTGGCATTGGAATCGTTGTTCCCGATCGTGTGAATCCTCCTGACCATTATATTGACATTTTGGAAGGTTTAGTGAAACCAAATGAAGGTGTGACTTATCAACAACTACCTGTGAGATGGATGCTTCATAATGGTTACCCAGTACCACCAGATATGCTTCATTTTGCTGATGAAATTTCTGCTTCATCATCTTCCACAAATATAACTCATGCAACTAAGGGTACTGATGAGGCTACTGATCAATCATTTGCGGGAGAGTTTTGGCAGGATATGAAAAGTAATGTGCAGTTGCGAAAAGATAATATAGAGGCAACCTTTTTAAGGACCAAGGATTTATCAAACCGAAGAACGCCTGGTATAAGTCGCCAGTATAGATACTACCTTGGGCGGTAAGAAATCCTTCATACCAACCTATGATTTAATATTGACTATTTATTAATAACTTGGTCCATTCCTTCCAGGGTTGGTAAGCAGCAGCTCCGAGAAGCAAAGTCACAAGCAGTTGATTATCTCCTTTTATTAGTTGCCGGTGCTATCTTGGGAACTCTTACCAAAGTAAACGATGAAACATTTGGGTCTCTTGGATATACATATACTGTCATTGCTGTCTGTAAGTTTTAAATCTCCTACAAAATTAGTCTTCTTTTTCACCAACTCGGACTCTTTTGCTTATTTATATTATATATACGCAGCTCTACTTTGCAAGATTGCAGCTCTGAGATCATTTTCTCTGGATAAATTACAATACTGGAGAGAGAGTGCATCCGGGATCAGCAGTCTAGCTCATTTTTTATCCAAAGATACAATTGATCTTTTCAGTACAATAGTCAAACCTCTTATTTATCTATCCATGTTTTACTTCTTTAGCAATCCAAGGTCAACCTTCGGAAGTAATTATATGGTTTTGGTGTGCCTTGTGTACTGTGTGACTGGCATGGCTTACGCATTAGCAATTTATTTCGAGCCTGCTCCTGCTCAGCTGGTATGAATCATAGCAATTTAAACCTATTTTCTCACACGAAATTACTCAAATTAATAACCCATTTTTCTCTTGTAGTGGTCAGTGCTTCTCCCGGTTGTTATGACTCTCATTTCAAATCAGACAAGAGATACTCTCTTTATGAAGATCCTTATAAAAATGTGTTACCCAAATTGGGCTTTGGAGGCCTTTATAATTGCAAATGCTGAAAGGTTTGTTTTAATTAGTCACTTCTTGTTACACTTCTTTTCCAATGGAGTATTAACAACGGAGTGAACATATTCATTATTTTCTTCAGGTACACTGGGGTGTGGTTGATAACTCGTTGTAATTCATTGATGAATAGCAGCTATAATGTCAATGAATGGCCTAAATGTCTAGCTGTCCTCATTTTATATGGCATAGTTGCCCGAATCGTGGCATTCATTTGTCTCATGGTCACCCAAAAGAAGTGATTTAGGTAGGATATGGAGGTTTAAGATGACATTTGCATGTGTCATAACAACTAGGGATAATTTTCAATTTTTTACCAGAATATATGATGCAAGATTCGGCCAAATATTCGGGATTAGCTGTAAGTTGTTGATATAGGCTGTTTTTAGTTTTACTTTTTTCTACCAATGTCTATGTCTGAGTAAAATTTTATGTTTTTACTTTTTATCCTTGTTCGTTAGTTTGTAAAGAAAACTATAGTGTTAATAATACTGCTAAATGTGGAAACCTCCACCATGCACGCAAGGTGTTTGATGAAATAACTGAAACAAACGTGAATTAAAAAAAAACGCCCACTGTGGGGCTCGAACTCACAACAACAAGGTTAAGAGCCTTTCGCTCTAACAACTGAGTTAGACGGGCTGTTGTTTGTTTTTCTATAATTTAGATAACAGACATAAAATATATTATGTTAGTTGATCAATAATGAACAAATCAGACTTGTAAAAATAATTTGGACTTTGCCTTTTTAAAACTTTTATTCTTTTAGTTCACATATTCTAGCATGTCCATACACAAATGTTCTATGTTAATTCACATTTTTAAACCTTTTTCAAATTATATATATAGAAGTGAGATTTTACTACCACGTATCATGTGAAAATTACTTTAAAAATATTTGGTATTACAACTTTTTTTAATCAATTATTGTATCAAATGTTATTTGCTACTTATTTTTGTCGTCCTTTTTTAAACATAAAAAATATTTTGATAACTATTTTGTTGTTATCATTTCATTTAAATTTATTTATTTAAAGTAATCAACTATTGAATCCATTAAAAATTAATCGCATACACTTCTTAAATTTCTCTTTCACTATAAATTATTTATATTATAAAAAAATATATTTAAGTAATCAAGTAATATTAATTTTTTATATTCTTATCTCTTATAAGAGAATGACGTGTAACATTCATTTTCAAATCTTCACCAATTAAATATTATATCCACTCATTCTCTCTCTTGATTAAAATTTCAAATTTATTTCTTATCACACTTTCTCACTTTTATTTTAATTTTTCTCTCTATCTATTTATTATCACCACAAATACTAATAAGCTATTTTTTAAATTTTAATAAAATTAACAATTTATTTTATCTCACATATTATTGTCAACACAATATCTATTTTATTTTAATCAACATTGCATTAATTTGAGAATCTTGAAAGGATATGTGGGTTGTATCCTCGAACAACAGGATAAGTCAAGTAGAAAAGAGCATGCAATTTATTACCAGAGTAAGAAATTCACGGATTGTGAATCTCAGTATTCGTTGCTTGAGAAAACTTGTTGTGCTCTGGCATGGGCTTTCCGACGTCTTCGACAGTATATGTTAAACCTTACTACTTGGTTGATATCCAAAATGAATCCTATTAAGTATATTTTTGAGAAGCCTCCACTGACAAGAAGGATTGCCTGTTGGCAGATGTTGTTGTTTGAATATGACATTGAATATCTTACTCATAAAGCCATTAAAGGAAGTGTATTGGTAGATCATTTGCCTCATCAACCAATTGAAGATTATCAGCTCATCCAATTTGACTTTCCTGATGAAGATGTTATGGCCATCAGAGCTAAAGGTTGTGATGAACCAGGTTCTGAGAAAGGACCAGAGCAAGGATCCCAATTGGGTTTGATGTTTGATGGAGCCTCTAATGTATATGGTCATGGAATTAGAGCAATTATAACCACTCCTCGAGGTTTTCATATTCCATTTACTGCATGGATAAGTTTTGATTGTATGAATAATATGGAAGAATATGAAACATGTATCAATGGCCTTTAAGAAGCCATCGATCTCAGGATCAAGAATCTTGATTTCTTTCGGGATTCAGTTTTAGTTATCAATTAAATCAAAGGTGAATATGAAACTCTTCATCCGGGTTTGATCCCATACAAAGATTATGCTAGGCGTTTGTTTTCTTTCTTTGATAAAGTCAATTTCCATCATATACCTCAGGAGGATAATCAAATGGATGATGCTCTGTTCACCTTGTCCTCCATGTTCCAGGTAATTTTCTGCAACGAGGCACCTCAAATTACAATCAGGCGTCTGGCAGGCCTGCTCATGTGTTTGCAACAAAGTAAGAAGTGGAGGATAAACCATGGTATCATGTTATCAAGTGTTTCCTCTAAAGTCGAGAGTACCCAGCCGGGGCATCTAGTAAAGATAAGAAGACTTTAGGGAGATTGACGTACAAATTCTTTCGTAGTGGAGATGTTTTATACAAACGAAATTACGACATGGTCTTTCTCAAATGTGTGGATAGACACGAAGCAGCCATGTTGATGCAAGAAATTTATGAAGGATTCTTCGGTACTCACGCCAATGGAGATTATATGGCTAAGAAGATGCTTTGATCTAGTTACTATTGGTTGACAATGGACTCTGATTGTTGTCAATTTGTTAAGAAGTGTCATAAATGTCAGATCTATGCGGACAAAGTGCATGTGCCACCGACACTACTCAATGTTATTTCGTCTCCGTGGCCATTCTCTATGTGGGGAATTGACATGATTAGCATGATTGAGCCCAAAGCTTCAAACGAACATCGTTTCATTATGGTATCTATTTGTATATTTCACCAAATAAGTCGAAGCGACGTCATACACCAATGTGACTAAATAAGTGGTGATCCAGTTTATCAAGAATCAAATCATCTGCCGATACGGTACTCCAAGCAAGATCATTCATGACAATGGTTCAAACTTTAACAATAAAATTATGAAAGGATTTTGTGAAAGCTTCAAGATTGAACATCACAATTCTTCACCTTAAAGACCCAAGATGAACGGGGTTGTTGAAGCAGCAAATAAGAATATCAAGAAAATCCTACAGAAGATGGGCATAACCTACAAGGATTGGCATGGAATGCTTCTTTTTTCTTTACATGGATACCGTATGTCCATCCGCACTTCAACAGGGGCAATCTCTTTCTCCTTAGTCTATGGCATGGATGCAGTGCTCCTTATAGAAGTTGAGATCCCATTAACGCAGGTCTTGATGGAAGCCCAATTAATAGAAGCTGAATGGTGTCAGAACATATATGGTCAGTTGAATGTAATTGAAGAAAAGAGAATGACAACCTTGTGCCATAGTCAGTTGTGCCAAAAGAAGATGAAGAAAGCATTTGATAAGAAGGTTTGTCCCCGTGAATTCAGAGACGGTAACCCCGTGCTAAAAAAGTTCATGCATATCCATAATGATTCCTGCGGCAAGTGGATTCCCAATTACGAAGGCCCATATGTCGTCAAGAGATCCTTCTCTGGTGGTGCATTGATTCTCACAATTATGGATAGTGAGGAGCTCCTGTGTTCGGTGAACGTCGATGCAGTCAAAAAATACTTCACCTAAATAATCAAAAGAATGACTTACTAAGTTGAAAATCCGAAATTGCGGCTTAGGCAAAAATAAGTGTCTCGGTGGGTTGAAAACCCAAAAGGACGGTCCAAGAAAAAATTAGAGACATAAACAGAAATAACTCAACCCGGTAGATTGAAAACCCGATAGGGAAACCTAGGAAAAAGTTAGGGATTTTATGGAAAGTAACTGCATTAGACAAGGGTTGATCACTTGAAGCAGCATCTTCGATCAAGAATTCTCAGTTCAATCTCTCTCAATGGAAGCTTGATTACAGGAATTCAAAGTTGTTAGGGAGAATAGTGATCATTGTATTTCAATGTAGCCTTTCCACTTACCAATTTCAAAACTTTGTAATGATCCATGGAGTCACGTCTTTTGCGGACTACTATTCTATCAATAAAAATCCTGATTTCTTGCCAATTGATTTCAATTCTTATATTTTTTTTCTTTTAAAAATGTCATTTATTTTTTATAATAAGTGTTGAAACAAAGTTTAATAACAAACATGCTTTTCGAAAATTACAAATCGTTTTCCTTTGACTTGTGATTAAACTAAAAGGAACGTCAGACGTTGCTCAAGATTGGTAAACTCTCGAAGTGTGGAATTTAGATTCCTCGACACTGCAATTCATAACTTGATAATTTTGTTTTCCCCAACAGAGTGGTTGTCAGATAGTGGTTTTTCTACACTCATTTTTGATATTACAATGTTGATAGTGTTTTCCTCTCATAGTAAAGCCAACAAAAAGTATTTATGTCCTCAAAGCTTTGCCGATTTCTGAACATTTATGTTTCAAGTTTCCTAACGGATCTTTTATCTCCAGCAGAGGATCTCACGTCCTGGAAAATGGGACAGAAGAAAAGCTTTGTAGCATAGTGTTCATCTAGTTGATATTTTTCCTAGTATCCAGTTAGTTGATTTTGGCTTCCTCGTTTGTTCAATGTGTTTTTTTGTCAGTATAAGCATAACATTGCACGCATTCATAAAGTATTTATGCATAGAAGAACATAGATTCATGCTCATTTGCATGTCCTTGGTTTTTTTAAATTCACTTTCATGTTGGTGTTTTCCCTAGAGAGAGTTCATCATTTTGTTTCCCCGCTGAGATTATGCCTCGTGGAAGAATTGTGTTTCATCTTTCCTTCCCAGCTCATTTGGCTGGATGGAATAAATCCCCAATCGAGTTTGTTCCTCAGCGCGTAGAGTCCTGTTTGACCGTTCTCTCCAGTTCATTCCTAGATTGAACATTGGTCCCTTGCAGCAATTTTTTATTTCTCCAGGCTAAGAACATAGATGATGAAGAAGGCATGTTGTAGCGGGGAAATTGTGAGTGTAAGCTATTGATTAACTTAACTCAAAATGTCAGAGTCGCCACCACACTTTTGTTTTATCCAAAAAGAAAAGGAAAAAGAGCGAACAAAACCTAAGAGTTCTAAAAACAAGAACAAATAAACAGAGATCTGGGTAAGGGGGTTGGTTACGCAATGGGAAGGTGTTAGCACCCAAAACTTCTATAGTACTCTATAGGAGCCCTTGGAAATATCTACGCTTTTTGGTTTGAAAAGGTTTGCTTGAAAGAAGATTGGGGAGATGAG